AACCAGGAATTTAATTTTAAACAGAACCTCACTGTATGCATTGTATAATGTATAACTAATAAGAATAAGATGATATAAAAAAAGGGCAAAATTATTTTTGGTATGAGACTTTTTTACTGAATAATGTTACCAGTGTTGGTTTGGCAAGAACAGACGAAGCACTCTTGATACCAGGATAACCCAGAATGCTGCAAGGTTTCTTTGAGTTTCTTCAGTGTGCTTACTCTGATAATGTATCCCAGATTAAATGTGGGTTAACTAGCAGCTGAAGAGGTCTGGTATCCCAAGAAGAGGGAGGGAGTGTAACCTATTAATCCACCAATAGCGTTAGAAGGTCAACAAGGCTGAGGTGAGGCATGGGTTACACCAAAGATGAATGTCAGCAGGCCACTCCCTGCCATTCTTCTTGTCTTGAAGGAGATGCATTATCTATTTTTTTTTTAAGATGGACAGTCCTGTCCTCTGGATTCCCCCAGAATAAAAACTCTAGGAATGTAGGAACTGTACATGTCCTGCATTTATTACAGAGCCCAGCACATTGTCGGTGCTGCTGAATCAGTATCTATTGACAAAAAGAATATGTATTATGCCTAGTGTGGCTGGCAAACTGAAATGATACGTCCAGCGATAACCATGGGAACAGTGACTTCCTTGCCTTGGGAGACCTTCTGCCCAAAGCCACCCAGAAGCTTTTGTGGCAAGCCTTTGGGTTAGGTTTAAAAGTCCCAGATCAGGTAGAAGAGCACCAACCAGAGCCTGTCGCAGGCCCAGGGCCTGTGGGAGTGACAGGGGCAAGGAGAGCAGTACAGTGAGCCTCTGGGTTGTCAGGGGCCTTGAAGGCTCCAAACATTGATGTCAGTTGTTGAGTGTTTACAATCTTCTTCAATTAAAGGTTATTTGATAGCTTGAGAAGGGAGGCAAAAAGACATCTTGTAGCATCTATTTCTAGAGCCCCCAGGAGTGCTAACATCAAAGGAAATGGGATAACAACTCTGAAAGAAACATGGATCCTTTTTACAACTGCCCCCTGACACAGGGTCACACTGGTAAAATTTACTATGGAGATGCTAAGAGAGATAAGCACTTTATTCACACATCCCACTTATCACACTATACGTTCTATGCCATACAGGCTGAAAAAGACTAGTTCTGATCTCCACAGGCTTGAATGATATGATACAGGTTGATTTCTACTCCTTGTCTTCCTTTTAATCCTAAGGAAAAAAATTCCCAGAGGAGGAGAATTTTCAACAGAGAAGTGTCTGAAGACAAGCAGAAAGGTAAGTAGGAAACTACAAGCTGACAAATTATTACAGGAACAAAGGAAAGCATAAGTGAGGCAAGAGAAAATTATCTGAACAAAAATGAAGGTAACAGAGAGAAGAGACCTGAGACTGGGGGACAAATTAAAGACTTCAAACATTTTGCTGCATCTTTCCCTTTATTCCCTACTAAGAAGAATCTTGTTGCGATAGCTTGGATGTAGGTGTCACCTAGGCAGGAATAGACTGGTGTAGGTCAGACTTCTAGATAATGATCCCCACAGACAGAAAAGCCACACATGGATGAGGAGGAGGGCTGATTGTCTCCAGGGAAAGATGGTTCCATTTATATGACTGCCAACCAGTGAGTATTGGATCCATGAAAGCACCGGAAACCACACGTTTTACATTCATTTTCACCAACTTTTATGGCAGGCATTATTATGTGCTTATCAGATGACAAAACCAGGAGGTTAAGTAACTTGCTCAAGGGCACAAAGAAAAGAGGAGGCAAAGCTAGAATTCTAATCTAATTCCCTGACTCTTAAATTTGAGTTTTTCCTCATGATAGTGCCTATAATGTATAATCGTTCTATGATAGAAGAGTGACAATATTAGATTTCTCTTCAGGGAGCAATTTCTCAAGAATGTACTTTCCATTTAGCTGTGCCTGAATTATTGATTTGTTTATAATTGCTATCCTTTACCATAAAGATCTATGTTCAGTTTGGGTAATAAGAAGCCTATTAGAATGATTGTTTTCTTCATGACAACTATATCGTAGATCAATTAAAATGAACATAAATTCCTAACAGCCTGGCCAGGTGTTGCTAAGTACTATAACACCACATTCAACATCTGTGAGAATCTTGACAAAAATTATGGAGGATATGCCAGGCAAGCTGCTAAAACAACATATCTTGCAAAAGATGTCAAAAACCTCAGCATACTATTCTAAGAGCGGGTACAAACACAGCACCCTAGAGAAAGGAGGTAAGGAGACTCACTAGCTTCAACATGAGGAAAGCAATATGAAGCAAAATTACAGAATAGTCTCCTGAACTGGATGAAATTCCCTCAGTGTCAGATGTACATCAACTTTTACAATTTCTAAGTAGCCTCAATGATCTAAAAGTTCTACAGAATATGTCTCTACTTACCAGTTAAAGAAAAAAGGCAGATGTTTTCCTTAAAATTTATAATTAATACAGGGCAAGGGATCACATACAACCTCCCCTAGTAGGCCAGTTACCTCCAATAAAATGCTGTTTCTCTGATTATAATGAAAAATCCTTTTGGTGTCTTTTTGACAAAAATTATTCATGTGTTACTGATATAGCACCAGGGAAAAAGAGAGGTAGCTAAATCAGCTTTCAGTAATTTGTTTTAATTTTATAACCAAATAGCAATTATAGTACAATGTCATAAACTATGCCCTTTCCCCATCATCCTCAATTGTGCCTCAATGTTTTGAAGAACAGGATCCATAGATGCTCAGAGACTTTCACCATGAACTCTCTGAATACCTAAAACCTCAGGAAAGAAGGAAGACAGATAAGGTGGGGCAGACAGCTTAAGAGCTGGAGCGACTGAGTTATGAGAAAAATCGTAATAGATTTCTTGTCACCACAGTGGGAGAGTCCCCAAAATATTCACTTCTGGTTCCACTCAAATGGACTAGGTGAGTTGTTCTCAACTTGGCTGATGCTAACATCACTTAGGCAGGTTTTACAAAAACATTACCTGAGTTCTACCTACAAGAAATTCTGATTTAATTAGCCTTGAGTAAGGCTCAGGCATCATCTGCTTTAGAAAACTCCCCCAGGTAATTCCAATGTGCAAAGAGGCTTGAGAACCATGGACCTAAGTAATTCAGAGATATGAATAAATGTAAATGATACTGGCAAGGATTTAACATAGTTTTCACTTCACCTGGAGAAAAAAATCCTAAAACATGGGAACATGAAACTACCACTAAATAACAACAATAAACACTACCACCACCAACAAAAACCTCTTCCATATGGAAGGAAAAGGGGCCGAAGAATTTTGTGTGAATCTCTTCTCTGTCCCCCTCCAACAGGAAGGCAACATCTATCAGCAGTATATACTATGCTAATCATTAGGGCACCCAGTACAGCAGGAACATGCAGTCAGATATAAATTCCCCATTTGCCAAAGAGGTACTGAGTCCCTAAAGGCCACAGAACAAACAACAAAGTCAGAACTTGATCTCAGATCTGACCCAAGGACAAAGCTTTTTCGCTTCTCCATATCCTCTGGAATATTTCTTTGCACTTGTTAACTTGACAAATAGGTGCTGGAACAGGGTATAATTTTAGCAACATTTTATACCGCAGGACCCTGAAGAGTTCATTCTAAAGAATGTGATCCATGACTCTCCTGGCTATTAGCAATCTGATGTTAGCTGTGAATAGGTCAAGTGGAGAAACATAAAATAGGGCTGGAGGGTCAGGTAGGGGACTGATGGTAAAGGACTTCAAATGCCAAATAAAGAGTCTGTAATGAATGAAAGTACTAGTTAATTAACAAATCTACATGAATTGACAATATACCTTGTATTGAGCACAGATAACTCTAAGGCCTAGACAGCAAAGATCGGAGGCTTTAGAGTTACTGTATCTAAGTGGTAATCTAATATGCCAAACCAGAAAACAAAATAGATGGAAAGGAAAATATCAAAACATTCCTTTTTCATGGTACAATTAGGATAAAGCCAACAACCTAGACACATTATGGATAAATCCACCTAAGACATGTCTACATTCTAAAAAATAAACTCTGAAAAGAAATAAGGGTTACACTTAAGCCAAATTGTTCTTTGTTATTTTTATTGTAGCTTTATTAGAGTTTTTCCAAAGGAAGAATTTAGTAGCTTATAAAACAAAACTCTCCCACCAAGGGCAGATGGTCAACATGACACCCTAGGATTGGAATCATTTATTAGCATATGTCAGAGTTAACAATGAAAAACTTAATGGATTATCAGTTTCTATCAATTGAGAAAGCTTATCCTCAAGTTTAAGTGAACAAATTAAAAAATCAGAAAAAGAAAAACGATTTGTCTCCCAAAAAGCCAAATAGCTGCTAAAAATCTATACTTAGTTTAAATATACTAGTTAATAAGAAAAAATGTATATAAAGGTGAACAAAAAAGGAAAAGCTAGGTTACTTTTCTTTATTACTCCCACAGGATGATTTCATATTTTCCATATTTTTATAAAGCAATTTAAATTTTTTCTACTTTAAAGAGATATTGAACATTAAGATAATTAAAAATCTTACATACAGATGAATACCCTCTACTTTCTATAACATAGAAGTCTCCCGTGTTTTAAAGAATTTAAAGCATTAAAAAGTGTGGCTTTGAAATGTCAGCAGGAATATATTTAACATGACATTAAATTAAGCAAATCAACTCAATGTAACAATTTCTTTCATTACATTTATCAAATATTTAATTATTCTAAAATTTATTTTCATTGTCTAGCTCTTTTACCCATACTTTCAAATCCTATGTGAAATTGCATGTGGGGATAAATAAATATACATGTTGCTTTTACTCTGGTTCTTTGTCTCATGATTTCTTTTTTTTTTGTATGATCATAGCATAAATAATATCTATGAGATAGTAGCTCTTAATTTCTTTCAAAAGCTTTCAAAGATTTTGTAACTTTTTATTCTTGAAGAGAATTAGGAGAATGGCTTATTACATACCATAGTCTGTGATTTTACAGGACACCAGATAGAGCTCTTTCAGGTTTTGTCCTTCCTTTGCAATGACCTCCACACACCTGAAACACACACAAAGAAGTGGTGAGTTACATTAATGCTTTTCCAGCTCAATTAGCAAGAGTCTGGCCACGACCATAACAGGAAGAGGTCAGAGTTTGATGAATGCTACAGCTCTCCTCTTTCAACAAACCTCTTTCAAGGTGTTTTAGGAAAAAAGTGTTATATTCCCTACTTTAAACACAAGTTCTCTAATACTTTAATGATGCTAATTAATACATTAATAATGACCAGTGCATCTTTTAAAACCAAAGTGATGCAAATGAAATATTCCTATAAGAGTAATGTTACAATTAGTAATAGGCGAGTACACATAGGCTATATAACATGTCACTTACATGATAAAATATAAAAATAATTATGATGAAACTCTAGATATACGTGGATGGTTATTAATCCTGGATGGTAATATTTCTCACAGTTCAATTACTAATGATAGAGTTTGATAACATTAAAATACACATTTCTGGGGAATTTTATCAATATAAAACAAAAATGTTTTGAAAATCTCTAACATACTGATTAAAGATGAAAGAAAAATCTGCACACATAGTAACATTAAAATCTTTTACTTTAAAATGTTTTATTCTTAATATTTTAAGTGAATTGCTGCACCAGGTATAGGCTTTTTTAATAATATAGATATAGATGTGTAAGATTTAATGTCTTTTCTGGTTTCATTTACGTTAAAAGGTTTTTGAATGGTGCACTCTGCTCTAAGTCATGGCAGTACACCTAGTATAGAACTGAATGAACTTTAAAAAAATGATTAACAACACTATCCATTTTGTGGTTCAGTCCCCCATAATATCAGAAATATCTGTACAGTCATACTGACACATAGGCATTATGCATCCTTCAATGCAGTCCCTGTTTCAATCTTTACAAATAACAGTTAAGTAAAAGGGTAAAAGCAAAAAGAGTCATTAACCTTTCTAGAAAGTAAGGATCAAGTAATTTGATACCTGTGTATATAATCCATCAAAAAATTACTGAGTATCCATCTCTGTCTTTCAGATATTTTATTTGCTGTCTGGCTCATTTGTAGGTATCTTCATAAAATGTCAGGAAATTTTATACAATTTCACTTCACATAATTCATTACTGAAGGTTAAATTAGTTACAGAGAAGATATATTTTTCTTTTAAAAGTTTTATAGAATATTGCTTTAATGGAATGATAAACATTTCTAAGTTCCTCAGAATAACTGAATAAACACTTTTTTGACTATTTTTTAATGATTCATGATAAAAATGGGTAATCTCTTCCATGACTACAATAGAAATCTTAAAACACTACTACAATGTAATTATGATTGATACAGCTTATTATGAGAGGAAATTTTAAAACTGAACTTCATGTCATTTGGCTTTGATGTAACATTTGAATATACTCATAAAAAAGGAAGGATAAAAGCAGAAATGAATATCATATTCAACCATTTTTATATACAATTCTAAAAACTAATTTTTACATGCTACAGATAAAAATAAAGGCCCTAAATGACTAAAAAATCCTAATAGTTAAAAAGAAAAGTCTACTATCTGTCATATCAGAGATATATATCTCACTGTTCTCCTCTGTCACCTGCCCCAAAAGTTAGCAGATCCAATATTTTGTATGACTCCCACATAACGAAATAAATTAATGCAGGAATAATGTTCATATAATTTATTTGGTTCTCATGCTCTTTTTAAATAGTTCAAAATCCTTGATTTTATATTTGATTATGAAAAACCTCTGAACAAATGCAATATCCTATCTGTGTTCCTGCCACTTGATTCTGTATTAGATATGCTACAAGCACATGTGAACGATAAAGACACACAGAGCAGACTACAAACAGCAAATAACTACGAATTGATTTCATTGTATAAGCTAGATCAAATGCTATTTCATAGGCAACAAGAATCAGTATTCATATAAAATAAAACAATCAATCATTGGATGAAAACTGTCTGAAGACTGATGGAAGACCAAGAGCTTCAGGTTTCCTCCCCACATGACAGAGGGAAAGTTATTATGAAGAGACATCACACATATATTTAGCTTATTCAAGAAGCAACAGCCGACAGATAACACATGATTAAGAATAAAGCCATAAAGATCTTCTAGATAAAAAAAGAAAAGAGAAGTATAAGAGAAAAGCACTTTGCTTTTAACAAAGGATCACCTGGGATTTTGTTTCTGAAAGTTCAGTTGCAGGTTTTCCAGATACTTTAAATACCGTGTCCTCACAGTCAGAGTGCCAGAAGTTATGCACAACCGTACAAATATTCCCTGGAGGATTTGTAGCAAAATTTAATGTTTAAAACAGAAATACCACATCAATCATGGATGTGTTATTTGAGGAGAGAAACTGTAAATTCTGTGAATCTGAACTGAGACTCTTAACATAATATTAAAACACAAAATTGAGTGGTTCAAATAAAGAGTTAAAATAGCTATTGTATTGAGAGCTGAAAATGGAAGTGGGTCTGTATTATCCTGCTACCGCAAATGGGTGGAAACAGAGCCCCATATCAAGTTCCTGGCAAGGGCCAGACGCCCTGATGAGTCCAGGTCATTTCCCAGGCAGCCCACGGTAGTAGCAGGTCATGACCAGAGACCATGGGTGGTGACTATCTTTCCTCCTAAAACTTTGAGTCCATTCTAGAATATATTTACAGGAAGTACCCTAAAGTTTCCTAAGTACCAGGAAAGCACAAGTCTGTGGACCACACTCTAAATAATTCTTCTGCTTTAAAAGAGTCTTGGTTCTAGTCATGGCCTTTAGTGGATTAACGTTAGACTATTTCCCAGTTCACCATATAGTATTGTCTGCAGGCAACCAACAAGGTGGTAAAGCTTAGTAATTATTGAAACTTTTTGACTACAGTTACTCATGTAAGTTTTTTTAAGTGTTATTTTAAAAATGTTAACAATGGGGAAGATGTTTCTAAAGGTGATAATCTTTAAGTAAGAAGGAGAATGACTGAATCACAGTGAAAACCCTTGTTTCTCCCTCTCCCCTATCACAGACACTGCATAGCAGATTAATGAGCTCAGTGAGAAATTATAGTTTTATCCCTAGGGACAAATAAAGTGAGGGACAAGTCATGAGTTCCTAAACTCAGAATCTAGAATTCAAAGTTTTCCCATTCTTTCCCCAAATGCTGTCCCCACCATTTCTACGGACAAACCTTAGAATATCATATGAACAACATTCTCTGCAGGTCAGTACACTCAAAGATTTCTCATTTCGTGCATGATAACGTAAGGGATTATAAAACTTCGGAAAAGAACAGTATCTTTGGAGAAAGTAATACTCTATAAGACTATTAAGGAGAAACTCGTAACATGGGAAGATTGTATAGTGAAAAAATGAAGAAAAAGATGAAATATTGCTACAGTAGCCTAGGAACATCAAACATAAGCCTACTGAAGCCATTTTCCCAAATTCTGAGATATAAAGTGAGATGCATCTTAACAAGAAGGAATTAAGAATCTGAAGAAAGACATTCTATTCTCATCTCCATGGAACCACAGAAAAACCACCTACCTTTGTTGGGAGTCCACGTCATCATTCTGTATAAAATGAGGGCCTATATGACAAATTTCTCCAAATCAAATGTCCTAGGTTTATCTCAATATATTTTGGTTTATTCTGAATTGCCTTCCCTCAAATTATGTTCCTGCTTTTATGTTTTGGCAGGGTTCTGAAGAGAATAAAAAAAAATTGCGACCATTGTAAATTCCTGAGTAACAGCTGTTGGGTACATATGTATATATAGATAAACTCTTTTAGAATACCAAAAAGGGCCAGAAAACATGCTCCAAAGTAACCAGAATTATTTTTTTATAATAATGCAATTTTATGCTCACTTGCTTTTGATAATGTTCTAAAATTCACCTGAAACATTTCATGTAATTTTAAAAGCACAAAAAGGTTACTTTTGTGGGCTATGTAGGATTTTTTTTTAAAGAAGAGAAGGCATTATTTGGTTTCAGTGGAGGGAAAATCTGTCTCCTTAGCAATAGATTCCTAATCACCTGATTTATGTGAAGGGTAAAGGTTAATGAATTAAGCTGTGTAAGCTTCAAAACTATCAAAGGAATTCAAAAGAGCCTTGAATTATGGAAAACAATGGCCCATTCTACATACATACCAAATTTTCATGTTTTTTGTCTCCTACTCAAAAGCTAGAACATGGCATTAGTGACAATTGAAAAGAACTAATGAGGAAATATGACTACACTGCTTGCAAGAGGAGTGTCCTAGGAGACCTTGTTACTGTTTGTGATGTGCTTCAAACCCAAAAGCAGCTAATTGGAGCTGCCAGACACTGGTTTGCAAATCTTACTTTAAAGGACAGGCTCAATCACCTTAGAGGTGTGGAAAGAAATGCCTCCATTAGAGATGCATTAGTATGTGGCTTGCTGAATTTCCAAACAGACTTGAGGATGTTCTTTCCTAAGTCACTTTTATATTTGAATAATAGATATATCTTCAAGGAGAGGGAAAAATGCAACGAGACAAAACAAACCCACACTTAAAACCAAAAGTATGAAGAATTCTGTAAAATAATTGGCAAATAAGTGCAACGAGAGCTAGGTATATTTAAGGTTGAATAAACAAGTAGATCAAATCTTAAAACTCCTGAAATGCACACACATCATGAAAGTGATCTGCTTGGGGGTTTTAGAGATACAGCTTTATTTCATCACTTCTTGAAACTAAACAAGTCAACAAGCCACCCTATATTATATAGATTACAAATGTGTAAAATCATAAGAAGCTGCAACACACACACACACACACACACACAAACGAAAAGAATAAAAAGGATTTAAGGGATCTAATGAGAGCAAAAAGGGAGTAAATTTGGTCCAGTTCTGTGCTATGAAAGCTTATCCTGACTTTGGGTCATTTAAATGATAGCAGAGTTGACCAAAACACAACTCGGCATTTTATAGAAAGAATAACAGCATTTTATTGATTTTTCTAAATCCTCAAATCCAG